GTTGGCATTCATGTTGGCGTGGGCAGGGCGTGGGCTCCCATAGTTGGAACCTGCAGCAAGAGAGGAAAGAAGACAACCATTACCAGACAGGAAATCCGAGCACATGGGATGCACTTTGGACCCCAGGCTCATGATTGTTTCAAGCTCCTGCAGGACGGTCGGAGGTGGCCGGTGGAAACATTCATGTGAGGTGCTGAGAAAAGAAAGTCAGGACATCTGTGCTGGTCCTGGTTCAGCAGGTGGCCTTGGGCCTTTCACTCCCCTCTCTCTGAGGCAGACAAGAGATAAGATCTGTGCGTTACAGCACATATGGGCCGCCACAGAAATAGATAAAACACAATGCACTGTCTGTATACTAAAACACTTATCTGTAAGAACACACACAAATAAGAGGATATTCATTAAATCAAGTAGAATGGTTGTTTACAGAGGGTGAGGAGGAAAATGAGAGTAAGATACAGGGATAATTTGAGGGGTCACCGAATGAATCCGTGATGACAAATGTACAATCAACTGAAGAGTATGATTCATTTGACTCTCTGCACCTGAGAGCCATGACACAAAAATAAACAAAAAAGAGGAGGTTAGACTAGAGGAAGTCAGCTACCTCTAACTCATCTGGGCATGAATTGCCAGGGCAGGTGAGCTGTGAAGGGTTTAAATCATGTTGGCAAATTCCTTCACATATTGATACAGAATCTCCAAGCCCCTCTCCTCTTGAAAAGAGGTTGGCCTTTAGTGACTGTTTTGACCAGTAAAGTAGAGCAGAAGTGACGCTATGTGAACTTCCAAGGCTAGGTTAAAAAAAAAAAAAAATGCAACATTGTCCCCAGCTGACTCTCTCAGGATGGCAGTTCGGCAAGAAATCTGCCACTCCCTAAGGCAGCCTGACAGCCCTGAGGCTGCCATGCTGTGAGGAAGCCCAAACGGACTTCCATGGAGAGTGAGATTTCCCCAGGCGCTCCAGTCACCACCTGGCTGCCACCCTGTAAGAGACTCCAAGTCAGACCCACCCCAATTCAGGAACTGCCCAAACTCCTGACTCACAGAAATGGAGAGATAACAACAAGGTGTCTGCTGCTGTGAGCCACTTTGTTTGGGGGTGACTCGTTACACAGCATTTGATATCTGGGAGCTGTGTGTGACAGAGGGTGACAGAGTAAGGAGAGAGGAACACTGCCAGGAAGAAAGCCTGGTGGGAACCAGGGAATTCTAGAAGGTCCAACCTCAGCAGAGACAGCCGCACCGCTCCGGTTTCAAGGCCTCTAAGACTGTCCCTAAGCTACCACAGACACTCAGCAGACACTGCAATCTGTGAAGCCAGCTCTGCCTCACCCTAGAATCTAGAAGGTTTGCCAGTGGTCAGCTCAGTCTGGGTCCAAACCTGAATCTCCCAGAAACAGACGCGTGACCTTGAGACTTGGTACCTCTCGTCAACTGGCCAGGTGCCACAGGGGCAGGAAAAGCCCCAGAGAACAGAGTGTTACCATGGGCAGTGAGTCTGGCAACGGATGGCACTTCAGTTGCCCAGGAAACTGTAGCCAGAGCAGCCAGACCAAGGTGCACATACGTCACCTCTGAGCCCACCTACAGTGATCTTTTCTGGTCAGTGTACACAAGGTCTTCTAGGAAAACTGCTGAACCCAGAAGAATACCACCTTGCTGGGTCTCTTCCTTCTCCCCACCTGTGACTTACTAGTAAGCAGATCTTACAAGTAAGCACTTGGCATCTTTCCCCAGTTACTCCCCAACTCTTATCTTGGGCTGATCCTTCTATGTTTGACCTCCAAGGTAACTTTGCTCCCTGCATGACCCGTCTTCTGGAACCTATCACCCCCCACCTCCACACCATCCACCACAGGAGTCTGTTAAGAGCTTAGCCAGTCAGAACATTCTCACCCAGAGAGAGCCTAGCCCAGAGACAGAACTCTAGCAACCTTACCAGATTCTTCATCCAGACATGCCTGAAACTAGCCCTACCCTGAGCCACACGCAGGTGACCTACGCACAGCTATGGCCTCTCAGGGCTGGCCTCCTCGAGGGATGTACCATGAGGCCCACCTGAGATTTTTCTTCTCCGAGCAATTTTCCCCCACCCTCTGTGAGGATTAAGTTACTTAAGTAACCTAGTTTAAGCTATGTGAATTGAGTCTCTGCCCCTTGCAACCAAAAATGACCTGCCTGATATACTTGCCCAGTGGTTAAAGTTTGTACCTGGCTGGGCTGTCATTTCTGCTAGATTCCAAAATCGACAACCTTTCCATCACACCAGTGACAGATGAAAAGTCTCAACTTTTATGCCAACTGATTGACATCACTGTCCAAAACTTTTCTGAGTACAACCAGAGAGTGTGTCGTGATAGATTAGTGATGCCTACCACAGGCATGAAGGGCAGGGAAGGGTATCACACGTGCCGCACACACACCACCCCTGCACGATCCCAAGAGGAGTCCGTCAGGCCCTCTTTGGTGCCAGCTGGGCAGCTGCCTCCTTGTCCCCTGACAGCTGCCTCCTGCACTAAGCCATCTGGTCCCTGTGGCATCAGGGTGTCACTGCCACTCCCCAGGGCCTGGAAAGTTGCCTCCTCGCTATGCCCAACTCACGGCCACGTTCTCGGCACAACACTGACTCCCAGCTCGCGATACAGTCCCTTCACCCTCCTCCTTCTCTCTGTCCCAGATGCTGCAGACAGCGGCTGCACTCCTGGCACAAAATATATTCACGGAAAGATCACATGCTCTTGGAGAACTCCACACACCCTATGAGGAGAAGCTCCCAAACAAACGTTCCCATCTTTAATACTAGGTGTGGATCCCAAGTGTAAAGCCGGGAAGACCCCAGTAAGGGTGGGACCTTGACCTTCGTACAAGACCCAGAAGAAAAAAATGAGATGAGTGGATTTGAACTAATAAAGCACCTATGGCACAAGAACCGCTAGAACAGCCAGCTGGCACGAGGAGCTCCAGTTAACACTGAAGAAAGCAAAGGCACACAGGGCTCCAAAGGCCACAGAGTGGAACATCAGAGAAAATCTGCAACAGGCCTGGGACTCAGGGTGACTGCTAGATGCGATGTCCACCCCTCAGACCTTGCATGCACGCTCAAGTGCAGACACATGCCTGTGCTCCTCCCCCTCAGACCTCACACACACGCCCCACATGACTACGCACGTGTGCACTCACATTCAAACAGAGCACACACTTCCTGGGGGTTTATGGGTCCTGAGAGGAAGGGCTATGCTTCTAATGCCACAAACGTCCCTCGTATTTACTACACTCTTCCTGTCACAGCGTGGCTATACCACCAGCTCCTGCAGTAACCCTCAGGGCACCTCTGGCATGAATGACAGTGGCAAGTGTTCCTGTTTCTATTTGCTGCACTGAAGTGACTGAGTCCAGAGTGGCCTAATCTCCAGGCTTACTCAGTTCACCAGAGAAAGCAGGAACTCTAATTTTGCTCCATTCAAACCATGGTGTATAATTTTTCCTTCCCAGACTCTCTGTGTGGCACTGACAATATTTAATAGACTCTATTTTAGTTGCTAGACTAACTTCTCCTTTTCCCTCACATACATAAAAGCAGCCTTGTCTCCCCACCGCCGGCCACCCCAGACCCTAATTCTCCACTCATGGCAAGCCCTCCTCCCCTCCCCACCCCTCCCCAGACCCTAATCTCTGTCCTCACCCCATACATGGCCCGTCATCCCTCTCTCTCATCCATGCTCCCAGTTCCCAAGACCAAACAGTCCCAGGAGGCTGGGGACAACACTTGGGCAGACGGCAGGAAGTCCGGGGACCTGAGGACACAGCCATTGCCTAGAAAGGCTGTGTCGGGGGCCCATCCTAGGCACCCCGAACTGGAGATAAAGGCTTCCAATGAGCAAGATGGCGGCTGCCCACAGAGAGGTAAGGGATAGTTCTAAGAACCATGTTTTGGTAGGCTGATTGGTGAGCACCCCCCCTCCGTGTCCCCACACCATGGGGGACCTTATTTACACTGTGAACTGTTCCCAGAGCACAGGGACCTCTCCGGAGCACACCATCTGGAGAAAGCACACATGAATAGGCCCGTGGGGAAAAACGGAATGTCAACCTCTCCCTAGCCAGAGGCCAAGCAAACAGCCTCCAGTATTTTGGTCCTGGAAGCTCTGAGCACGGCTGCAGCCCTGAGACATGACTGAGGGTCCTGCCACAGGAAGTGCGGGCAAGTCAGGTGTGACCTCTCAGGGATGGCCTTCACAAGGGCCGCCCTGCCAGGCCTGACTGAGTCTGTTCTTCTAGTAATTTCCCCAGCCACTGTGATGGGTCCCCACCCTGACCTGAGGTTCCTTGAGTACCACCAGTCACCCCAACAAGGTGGCACAACTCCCCAAGAATCCCAGGAGGGGGGAACCTCCCTCTCGGGCCCCACGTTTTTGAACCCAGAATAGTGCCACAAAGGTAGGGTGGGCGCCCTTGTGTCCCTGATGGCTTTTGTTCGCAGGAAATAACCACCCAATGCAAAGAGACCAATTTTCAAATTATAAAGCTGATTCAAAGCTCTGTCTCCTGGCTGCCAGCTGAAGGGATGCCACCGTTTAAGTCTGCTCTGGCTCTGCCTGACTGGGCTATTTCCACCGATGCTCTTACCCCTGAACCGAGCCTCAGAGCCGCCTCTTAGCAGATCAGGCCGCCCGCAAACAGGTCGGCGCCCCACGGCGGTGATCTCGTCCCCGGACACCAGAAAATGACCCATTTGCGTCTTCAGGGGCGGCAGCGCCCTCCTCCCACACTCAGGGGTCGCTGTTTCTCAGAGGGACGGGATGATTGATCAGCAGAGGCCGGCAAGCCTCGCATTGCTCTGCTCTGCAAGGGTCCGAGCGAAGAGTCCAGTCAGGAGACCGTGGCCGATGCCTCTCGGCTTCCCCTGTGAATGAGGCTTGGGGCCCTGTGCTCAGAGATAAAATAACTGTTGTGGTTGTTTTCTTTCCTCC